GTGTTGGAAATTGTTAATGGCTTGGGATCTTTCATTACCCTCCCACGGTTAGTCTGGTCTCTCGAGCAGAATTTAAATGAAGGACAATAACAAAGAGAAAGAGAGAATAGCTAGAGGTGAGCAGCATTGTTGAATACAGGGTTGCTAACCAAATGTCTTACGTTGCACTGCCCTCTTCAGGTGTAAAAGTTAATTACTAAAATATGTGTTTGGGAAGGTCAGAGGTTTTCAGCCTTGTGTTTCAGCTTCAGTGGTTGTTTGTGTCACTCTCTGGTTGAGAACCCCTTGTAGGCTATTACATGATTTCAGGGATATTGCAAGCCATTCAGTTGCTGAGAAAAAGGCAATATTTATTCATTTAAAAATAGAAAAAAGATAAATTGTGTTCTGTTTGGGTCAATATAATTAATTTTACTGACACATAAACTTGTAAGACACTTGGCCATATAGAACAACTCCAGTATATTCCTAAAAACTAGTGTCTAAATCTAATTTTTCAGTACAGATGCTGTTCATGTACACAAAAATAATCCATAATGGATTATTCTTGTTTGCTCAAAAGAGAAAACCTCGCTGATCCCTCCGTCTCACCTGATTGTGGGCACTATCTAAAGAAAATCGTTCATTAGCAGCTCTCTGTAGTTTATGCTGAAAGGATTCTGCCTCGGTAGAATGAATCTGTTTTTGTCCCACATCGCAGTATTAAAAATATCCTCAAAAGCTAATGATCTATGCAAATGGTTCTCTGCTTTCACTTATCTAATTGGAAACACACTAGCCAATTTTGAGCACCATTTGTCAATGACTTCCTCTGCGTCTCCTTCGCTGCATGCATTCACACACACACACACACACACACATACACACACTCTCTCTCCCCCCTCTCTCTCTTAGACATTTTAATCAGTTTTGAGAGGAATAATTGCCCAGGTAGACGTCTAAATATGGAGGTATTTCAATTACTCTGTGTGTCTGGCTTCAGGCAAAATATGGCTCACAGAGACTAATCAACTAAGACTGATTAACGTAACATTTTATTACAGTCTGTGTGTGTGAGTGTGTGTGTGTGCGTGTGTGAGGCTGTCAACATCTAACGTAGATTAGCATTCAGGCAAGTGAATGTCCATCATTATATTAAGTTCAGATCATCTCTAGGGATAGATTACAGACGTCCTTTCCTCACGTACACAGGCCATAAACAGTTTAGGCTAAAATAAGCTCCTGTGGTTCATCTGTGATTTCTTGCCCTGGAGGAACCTCACTGCCCTTAGCAGACCTTTTGAGGTGATGAGTAGAGGTCAAGGAGGAAGGGGGAACTTTTTCTGGAAGCTGTTTTGTACGCTCACCACAGGTCTGCTAATTATATCACACACACTCTCAATTTCCAAGCATATGGACACTTTCGCTCTGTTGGAGACAGACTGCACAGAGCTCATATCTGATTAGCACTGAAGTGACAGCTGTCATGAGAAGAGCTTGATGTGTGTGCGCAATGTTTTGCAGTTGTGGATGTGTTTTTGTTGTTAACCTAACTTTTATATCAAATAACAAACCCATTTGGTGATTTGGTCAAAAGTCATGTAGACGCTAAATTTGGTTGATTTACAGCATGGCATAGGGATGGCAATGTCAGTTTGTCTGTCTGTAGTTGGCTAATGGATGTTGCTGATCCCCAGAGAACATATCCTAATGACTGTGACGAACCCCTACATTTTTCTCTACTGCTGCTATGACGTTCATCTGGGTGGGTTTTGAGTGAAATGTCTCCACAATTTTTGAATGGATTGCCATTAAATGTTGTGTTCCCTTCAGGATGAATAGTTAACAATTTGGTGATCCCTTTACTTTTCATGTAGTACTCAGTACTAGTATCACTAAAAGACTAAAATTGTAATTAGTCCACTACTTTGAGGCTGACATTCCCGTCAGCCTGTGCTGAATATATATTCATTGCTAATTAGCAAATGTTACCATGCTCACAAGCTGAACTACATAGGCAACATAATTACCATCACCATGTTACATTTGTCACTACTAGCACATTGGTATACAGACATTAGCATTTGTCTCAAAGCACGGATGAACCAAGTACAGTCTCATAGAGTCTTGTTTAGACATCTAGATTGCACAATTTTTATTTTAAAAAAGCATGACCATATTTTAGTTTGAAGCAACACCTAAATACATGTTACATATAGTCTTTAAGCTTATATGTATTCTAGACATCTAAAAAAGTTATCCTCAGAAACTGTTTGGAAAACAATATCAATATATCAATATATTGATCTTACATTTCTGTCTTAGTATAAGACAGATATCTTAATGCTTTAGGTAATGAGATAATGACAGATAGGCACGACCAGCCTTGATCTCTCACACTTTCATCCTTGATTTAACTCTCCAACTGCAGACTGTGTTTGAGAATTTACTGGCCTGAATATGTCACTGTATTTAGGAATTTATGAAGCCCGTCTAAATAATCATGCCCATAAATGCATGCAAAATATAGGGTGATATAATGCTTTATGTAGATTAGAAGTAATTCCAATTTAATGACCATTTCTCTATTCTCCATTATGTTAGTCATCTCAATTTACATGATTATAAAGACTCTTTTGTGATAATATCTGATCCTTCAGTGCCATTAGAAGTAGGCCTAGTAGGTTTCCCTTATGGTATTTGAAGCACTCCACTGCTGCAGCTGACTCTCTCACATTAGATTACAGTGATTGGCAGTTGCACACTTTGAGCATTCATGGGCCCAGTTTCTCACTTTAGACATGAACTCGCCCGCAGAATTCTTGCTGGTTCCCACTTTGTTTACCAAAGAGCATGAGTCTCTGATTAAGTGGTTGTACAGTCTCACAAGGCTGCTTTAAGATGTGTACTCCCAGAGCAGCAGCTATACTGTAGCTCTAGGTCTCATTTTGACTCTGAGAATCATTAATCACACAACAGACAGACCAAGCCCTCTGTAAACTTCTCTGCCTCAGCTTCCTTTTCCAACTTCTGTTTTTTTTCTGTCTGGCAGTCAGCCAACCTGCTTGCAGGCACAGACAGACAGCCACAAACACATACAGTATATATATACAATATACAACATGAAAGACAAAATTATGCTTTAAAGTGCTATGGACTAAATATTCCCCCGCCTTTGTTTCCTGTAGAGCATTCACTTCCAGTTTTTGACAGGGGGTGTTATTGAACATGGAAGTGGAGGATGAAAGTGATGGAGTACTTTGAAGCCACTTTCCACAAGTCTAGTCATTTCTTATATAGTGATGCACTGATCTAACTTTTCCTCTCCAAATACCAATTCCAGAGGCTGTCCTCCCAAGAAGAACAGAAGCATCAGTCGTTTATATAGAGCCACAAAGCCCACAGAAGGAGATTTCTGTGAGACTGTGACATGTGTAATCATTGTTCTCTTCCCATTTTTCCTACCAAAAGTCAATGTTGATTTCTTTTAATCATGACCAGGAGCCATGTCTAACCAAATCTGAACCCAACCATACTGTTTTCTAACCCTAATCAAGTCATTTTTGTGCCTAAAGCTAACCAAACCTCAATCATAGTGGTATCAGGTCCCAAAATGGGTTTTATTTTTGCAATGGTGATTTGTAACTATTGAAAGGGCACAAACAAATTGTCATCCTGCAGGTATAGGGCCATCAAATATTTACCTGTGTCATTCTGGAGGGGAGTTACAAACAATGTATTTGTCATTTAATTTGGAAAACTTTTTACGATTCCGATGCCTGGACCAACAACTGTGTACTGATCTGATACTATTGTTCTATTGTTGTTGTTCTTGTTCCCAAATTTAAATGTATACCTCCTGGCAAGAAACTCATTAGAATCATTTCTGTGTAAGGTCAGGGGTTGCTGTGGCACTAATAATTGAGTCTGCGGCTCACTATGACATGACTGAAACTGACAATGGAAACACTTATTTTTTTATAATAACACTGACTGTATTTAACATGGGTCATTCACATCTGGCCGAAACCAGATTGCCGTAAGGTTGGTCGCGGTTGATTCCGATGTGGTGTATATGAGATCTGCGCATCCTTCTTATCTAGAATAATCAATTCTTTCATCAAATCCCACCTCAACATTATGTTTCAGAGAGTTCAAAAGGGTATATTCTGTTGTATTTACTGTAATGACATCTTTGTTTCCTGATGCACTTGCACCTGTTGAAAGGATAAAAGGCCTAAATCAGTCATACACGTGACTCCTTCTGGTATATTAAATCTATATGGGAAGTCTAAAAAAAACCCAACATGACAACCAAAATCCATCATCATGATTCCATTCTTCTACATCCATTTTTTTTCACTCCCAGTTGTTTAGAGATTGTGTCCGTCTGTGATTGGACGTCAGTGTACCAGATGTGACATCAATATGGCCCAACCCAACTGAAATACATGTTATAGCCAGATTTCACCTCCAGGCTGTGTGTTTGTTTGTATGTGCACGTGTGTTTTACACTCAGGGGAGATTGCCACATCTGTGAGTTTGTCCACAGTCGCCGCTGGGTCAGATGCTTCGCCTCTCTGTCGTCACAGCCTCCCTTCTCCCTTCTGCTTCTTCTTCTTCTCCTAATTCTGTCCTTCATTTCCCCCTTGCTACCTCTTTTTACCATTTGTTTTTGGCTTTGGTCCTTGTTATACCCCAGTTTGCCATTATTTCCTGCCTTAAACATCCCATCTTGCCCCTCCTTTCCCTGCCTCTCTTCCTATTTCATCTCCCAGTTCATTCTTCTCATCTGTCTTCTGTATGTCACCCCTCTCTGTTTCCCCTCTTAAACTACAAGTAGTACTCCTCCATTCTTTTCCCTCCTTTCATTTCCCCTGTCCCCCCTCTTTCCTCCCTTCACTCAGTCCCATCACTGACCCAATTAAACATGGGGAGGGACACAGCAGGAGGAGAGTGACGGAGATAAGGCGAGAAAGAGAGGGAGAGGGAGAAAAGGCAGAGAGTATAGAGAGAGTTTGAGAATCAGTAGCTGGAAAAGCAGAGAGTCAGAAAACAATTCCTGCCAACCTGCCAGGGCACACATGAATTGTCCGAACTTCACCTGTAACTTAAACAACCTTTGACAGCCTTGGAGGCGGCGGGGGTGGAGCAGCAAGTCGACAGTCCTGCTGCCACGCACTTACCGTTCTCGATGAAGAAACGAGGAGAATAACAATCTACCTTCAGTGAAGAAAGCGGGCGGGGAGCCGTGCGGAGTTGGGATGGCCAAATACCGGAATATAGAGGGAGACTGAGAGGAGAGGCTGAAGAGACGAAGACGGTGCATTCCTGGTTGGAGCTGAGGGGGGGGAACGTGGTTGCCCTGGGGCAAGAGAAAGATTTTTGTTGACAGAAACAGAGGGAGAGAGGAAAGGGGAAAGGATGCATCTGTTCTTCCAAGACAAATGGGAGGTGGAGGGGCTGCAGACTGTGGGCATCCTCCTGGTGGTCTGCAGCTCCCTCAAACTGATGCACTTTCTGGGGCTTATCGACCTTTCCACGGCAGGTAAGACAAATGGTAAGAGAGCAAGAGAGAGACGCCGAGTGAGACATCAAAATGATGAATATGGTGAGGGGACAATATGAGGAGCTGAAAAGGGGGGGGGTGTCTATGTGTGTTTGCGTGTGTTTCAGAAGTGTTTATTGGGGTTAAACATAACAAAGTAGTTTGGCCTAATTTCTCACTAAAAGGGCGTCGATGTTGTCACACCTATTTATCGGTCCTCCTGTAGCGTGGTGTGTTTGTGTGTTTGTGTGTGCGTGTACTCATACCTTTCTAAATTTACATATAAATGCAGAATGGATAATTTTGCTGTGTTTATGACACAAAGAAGATTTAAAACTTCTAAACAAACACATTTGAATGTGCAAAACTTGTTAATGTAGGCCCATCCCTACTATGAAAGAGACATCTCTGAAATTCATCATTCAGTACTTAACTTCTTACATCTAAGGGATTCTGTCTATAAACGATTTTATCAATGGGGGACTTTACTTGTCATTCTTACTGTGGTGTGGCTTCTTTTTTCATTGTTTTTACCTAAAGGGGCACACCACCTATTTTAGGTGCCTCAGTTTCCTCGTCATGAAGAGTTGTACAGTATAATGCCCTCTGTGTCTCTGGAGGGAGCTTTCCAAAGTCTGAAACGATAACCCTGGTGATGCCATCAGGGGTACAGATAGTAAAGAGGAAATGGAGAGGGAGAAAAAGAGGGTATGTCATGCGACAAAGGTACTGACTGGAATCAAACTGGCATGTTTTAGTTACATGGAATGAGTCTTAACCACGAGGCCACCAGGACACCTTGAGGCTATACATTTACATTTACAGAAAAATGCATCTCCAACAAAAAGATTAATTATGGGAAATGTAGGCTCCAGTGGTTTTATTGATTTAGCCTGTGCCTAAAAGATCTCTGCTGCTTTGGTTTCGAGCAATTATTTCTCTTTTGCCTTTTTGAGTCCCCAACTTTAATGGAATGCAATACCATAAAGCTGGAGTGTAGTTATGTAGTGAGATAGGCAGGAGAAGTGGAGGAGTGACTGAGATTACAGTAAGCCCCAGGCCTCTCTTGCAACCACAGGCAACTGAATAGCAAGATCCTATAAATTCTAAGTTTATGCTAATATTTGTGAAATATTTCAATCTTATGCTGAAAGTTTCAGTGTTCAAATGTTTTGCACAACCAAACTGTATCCAGCGTACTGTATCACTGTGCTTCTAAACACTGTAATATGTTTTCTCTGCTTCACTTCGATTGAGGATTACTTGGTTTCTTTGTGCCTTGAGAAAATCCTCAGATCTCTTGGGTTTATGAAATACGACGCTCTTCAAAATTTCCTGGATATTGCAAAACTGTGTTGCCATCAAGCTAAAAATAGCTGTTTTTC